CTAAAACTATTTCAAAGAGTATGCTTTTTTATTTTAAAAAAAAATTACAAATGACAATGCCTATATATTCAGTTGTCAAAATCAGAATAAAGAAAGTACGAGAATTTGTTTCCAATTTTTTGTCAAGGAAATTTAGTGTCTTCTAACTTCGATTTTGAAGGATCAAAAATCTGGTAAGTATTTAAAAAAAAATGTTATTGAAAAAGTGCATTTGTTATAATATAGTTGTTGAAAGTTAGTGAATCTTATTATTTTATATAATTCAAAATTCAGAATTCAAAATTTGCAAAATATTTCACTCATAATTTGCCATTTGAAGTATTTGGTCTTGTTAATTTTATATGAACACCGGTTCTGCAGGAGCATCTTATATTGCAAATTCTTTCCTCGCCAATTCATTGGCTTTAAGGCTTCCATCTACGCTCAGACATTGCGGGGCCTATATAAGAGATATTGTCTCATTCGCACAAAGTGATTGCGCTTCGCCTACTTTACTTTATCGGATAAGAGACTGTGATGGCTGAATTTATTATTATACGCTTAGCAGTTAGCATCCCTTCCCAATTGTGCACACATACGCCTGGTAAACAGTGAAAGTATTTAGTATTTTTTTGCAATAATGCATTAATCTTCATGTTCTGGATGTTATAAATATATGATTTTGCTACATTCTTGCGGTGTCCCCTAGCCACTGCGACCTGATATATTTCTGGTATATTTCAGCATATGTTGGCTACCTTTGTTTGTTGTTTTTGAGAAAATTTTTTTTCCAGAACTCCCTTGTAAGTTTCTCAATATGATTTTTTGTAGCTTTGAAATTTAGATGCTACTTTGTATTTTAGTTAACATTATAAAGAAAATCATGAAAACATGCACTTCATGAAAATACTCGTATATATCTTATCTACGGTGGCATTGACAAAGGTCTTCAATGGTGAGCAACACATAAAGCAATGTTAATGTTAGTCGGATTTTATTAAAACATGTGGATGAAACATTTAGCCACACGATTCACACATATTCATACATATTTTAAACAATAAACAATAAACATGTCAACCTTTTCTACCCATAAATCTATTTGAGTTTTTGAAGCAGTCCACAACTTTGTTTTTTGTTAGGGAAAGCGTTATGATATATGGTTTGTTTTGCAATCTACTCAATATTTCAGAATTAGTTTGACCGTGGCTTTCAGGTGAAAATGATCAGTAAAAAGGTCAAATGAGTTTTTTCACTAAACCCAAATTTTTTTTGATTAATGAATGAGTACCTAACCCATACGCTTACTGGACATGGCTGGTTCAGAGCATATCTTTTTACCATAAGTTCAAACACGACGGAGGCGACAAGTGCTTAGCGTGTCCAAATACAAAAGAAACCGTAGAACATGTATTCTTCGATTGTCCGAAATATGAGAACCATCGCGGCTCCTCGGCAAGAGTAACCAGAGAACAGGTGCCTCTTGATAACATTATCCACCTGATGTGGATGTCAACAGAATACTGGAACCTGGTATGTGTATTTGCGAGAAAAATCATAAAACAAAGACAAAGAACAGCGAAGAGGGCAGCAATCGCTAAAGCACCACCCTCCGAAGTAATGAGAACAGGTGCCTCTTGATAACATTATCCACCTGATGTGGATGTCAACAGAATACTGGAACCTGGTATGTGTATTTGCGAGAAAAATCATAAAACAAAGACAAAGAACAGCGAAGAGGGCAGCAATCGCTAAAGCACCACCCTCCGAAGTAATGATATGTATGGTTAGAAGAGGCATGTTGTTAGGATGAGGCTTAGTACGTAGGCGGCAATACCCAGCCAAAGAGTTAGTGTTGGTTGCGAATTGTGCATACTGGCAGTATGGGTTATCAGTATCTATTAAAGAATCCACATACACACACACATGCACTATTTTCCTGCAATCGTCCCTTAAAGCAAGCTAGCTCCAGTCATTTTTGATAAATATTGATTTTTGATATTTGCTCTATGAATGAATTATTTTTAAGATATTAAGGCTTTTTTCAAATAAAAATTTTTTTGACACCCTGTATCTCGCTTAATACTTAAAATGTCTCTACTCTCTTTTACAATATTTTTTGTTTCTTGAACCAATAACTCATTTTGTCTGTTTACACCGAATAAATCGGAAAGACTTTTTATTTATATATATGTTTCATATATTCGAGAAAAATAATATTGTTAACAAAGCATGCAATTGAATATTAAAAATTTGTTAACGTCTAATTTAGTTTAAAAATTTAATAAAATTGTTTGTTGAGAAACTGTTACACCAGAAAGCTTTGGACCTTACATTTGTTGCAGTTATTGACGCTGTTCAAGCAGTTCTTTTCGTTAGTATATCCAATCCGTTATCCAATCCGTTATTCCAAAGGTAAATGTTAACATTTAAAAATTTTTAACACAACTTGACATAAATTCTCTTCTTGTATTTTACGCTTATGTAGGAACCTGGTTAGCAAGTATGGACTTCAGTGACTTAGCAATTGATCGCTTGCCCATTGAAATCGTGGAGATGGTGTTCAGCAGAGGCCAATTCTGGTTGTTGTTGCGTAACTTGCCGCCTGACACCCCAAAGTCTGATGTTATTATTATCATAACTGGCACAGAAGATCCTAACGTTCGTGAGCTGTACATATTTTATAAGCGAAGTAATTTTCCAATTATTGTCGAAAATGAGTTGTGCTATCAATGGGAGGTGGAGTCATTTCACAGGATCAATGAATATAAGGATTCAGCTGTGCATGATACAATGGCCTGTTTGACTGAGGAAGAAATCCACCAAATTGCCCTGAAATTAGCCATAGAGCCGAAGTTAGGAGTCTGTGCTAAGGTTATGAAATACATGACTCAAAATGTGGTTATCCCAGTGGCCGAAGCCGTGGTTAACTTGTGGTCCATGCTAACTGGATAAACAATTTATTTACTTAATTTATCTCATTATTTTCTATTAATTTACACACTACCCTTTTTTAAGATACATACTCGAACATCGTTATTCACAATCAAACAAAAACACATCTATCAATAAACATTATCTTAAAAAACACTGATGTTAAATTTACTTTGATAGCAAAAAAAACAAAGCCTGAATAACTGCAAGAAGCTTGCTTTAATTTAATACTCAGTATGATGTATAAATACTGTTTTTCAACTTCGAGTATTTCAACTTCGAGAAGTGATTCTTAGGTCCATGACACAAAAAAAAACCACATGACAGAACGAGATCCATTCACTAGAAAAGTCGCAGAAATGTTGCAACTCTAAACGTATCAGTATCGCCACTATTATAACCAGTATTGCAGCTTACTAAGTCTTTCCAAAAGTATGCCGTTTAATCAGTTTGGCAACTCTAACAAGAGAGGGCGCTAATGGCAACTATCTTATTTCACTTTAAAGTGAAAATACATTAACGTAGTTCTAAATAAGTTTTATTGTTATTTTGAGATTTTGTATTTAAACAGGAAAACGAGTTTTCCATAATATATAATAGAATCTAAAGAAATACTGCAACAGTGAAAACTCGTTACCATTTTACATTTTCATCTACTCATTGATTCGGGTACAGAAGTAATCATTAAACAATCGATCAGAAAGGAAAAAAAACTATTTTTCGTTTCCATGTGATCCTCTGTTGAGGCAAGAAAGTTTTCACGTTTTTGAGCGAGCACTGTAAACTGATATTCTGTCACGTACAAAGTAGACATCTATTCACTAGTTTAAGTCCCAGCAACACGGCACTAAAATATAATCTAATGGTATTTGACAAACACATTTATCATTGTAAAAACAAAACTCATATATTAGATAAGATTTTAAAAACGGGTTGGGAACTTGTAACCACGTCACTGTATCCTTTGAGGATTATTGTGACATACCCACTTTAGTTCCATAGACGAGATGTTGTCTAATTCCATTATAAGTGGATAGGCAGTGGATGAGTGCCGAAGCTTAAGTCTGCGAAGACTGCCACAGTGACACAAAATGTGTTCTGCTGCTTCCTCTGCATCGCAACAAAGTCTGCAGTGTCTGGTTATACCGAGGTTCGATAGATGCTTTTTAGCTCCGCAGCGCCCAGTGACAATTCATATATTAACATGTAGAAGTAGGCATTAAGTCACGTTCTTTCTATTACATATAATCTGACTCTTCCAATATGCATGTAGCCACACAATTATGGTGCCTAAATCAGCATTTTTATATCTATAAGGTGTTGTGAGTGCATTCATATCTTGGACAAAAAATGTATACAAATCGACATAATTATATGAGAAATGTGTCCACAAATGCTGTGTGGATTCTATTTTCGAATCATGGCACCATATATTATCCATGCATCTTCCAGGTAAAACGTATCTTAAAATTAAGAAAATGTTTTTTTCTCTTTGATAGAAGTTCTGTTTTATTTATATTGAATAAGCTAATTGCATAGAAATAGGTCCGATGAGGTAGAAAATTTTTGTCAGCTAACAGATTTTCTTAATAATCTTAAAATGCTTCCACAAACAGCAAAAGTTTCCAGTTTGGTTGTTTGGCTGTTGAAATACTACCGAAAGTGAAAGAAAGGTATTTTCGTGGGAGTATGACAACAATGTCCTGCCAAATGTCCTGTTAAAAAGCTTGTGCGTGTTGTTAAGAACTTCACAAAATTTGCATATTTCATTACGGTATGCAAGTCCTGTTATGCGACAGAGCAGGTGTGTGGTATTTATTCAATATTAAGAAAATATATGTTCGCAGGTCTGTGTTGAAGCAAACTTGCTAATAAAGTTATGTCAAGGATGTGCAGGAAGTAAAAACCAGAACACCGATGCTTAAGGGCGACTTACCAATATTGTACACTTCATAAAGAATTTAAGTGAACATTTCAATATTTGTGATTAAAATTTGCATTTATGCGAAAATCGCTTCATGAGTGCAAGTGAGATATTAAAATCGACAATACTAGAATACCAGTATATATTTTTGATTGTATTTGATTGTATTTAAGCACCCTTTATGGTAGTATGTTTCCATTAATGTCCTTTTCGAAATTTTGACGTTAATTTCAGATTTCACACCAGTGCACATGAGCTTTTCTTAAAGGTTTCTGATGCTCTGATGTAACTCAGTGACGTTAAATTTCTATGTTTATGCGTATATATATTTATATACCTATGTATATATCTTATATATTTATATAGATGAAGGTATAGCTGCCGTTATACAGTTTGACTTTTTTACACATCAACAAAACTTTAGTCTTATGTATTCATAAATATTCAAGGACTTGCCAGGCAATGTTTAAGTGCCCATATGTAAGTGTGTCGGTGCGGTTAATAATAATCTCAGCAAGAACGCACATCTCCAGATACCAGCACATATTTGCACATCACAACTGACACTTTATGTCAGTTGTGACATAACACATTGTGTGGCTGTATGTGTGCCTTACGGAGGAATGCTACATTTTGTGCACACATTGACAAAATACTTACTATAAACGCTTGGTAAGTCCACATAACCATACAGTTTACCGCTTACACACACAAACGCACACACGTTCACTTAGTAGCAATTCCGCAATCAAGCATCTTTTCATATCATCATCGGCATCAGCATTAGCATTATAAACACAATGACGTACTATATTCTATGCAATAATGTTGGATTCCATACATTATTACTTAGGTATTATGTACTCTTGCAACATCGCACCAACTAACACACGACTTCTCAGCCTGCTCAGATAGATATGTGCTCCACTATCTTATCAATAACTTCATATAAATTTATATGTCCATTATATCATGAGGAGCTACATACTTACCTATGTCTGTGCGCACATACCTATATACAGTACGTATATATTTATATGTACTATGTACAAATACATATACTCTTACATAGGCTAACTAGTTTGTAATGCACAAATAATGTTCAGTCAGACATTATGGCTTGACTGCGAAGTGAATTTCCCAAACTTCAGAAACCCTAATTTTAATACTTAATGCATAATTTTTCATATAAGGACTTCATATTTTACAAGTAATTATTATAGAGGAACAGAATTATGTGGTAAAATCGAGTTGAACATCTCATATCTCATTTTTCTAACGTCTAATGTTTACTCTCCACGGTGATATGGAAAATGCTACCAGCCCACTCAGACCACTCAGATGAGCTACTAAAATAAAATATATAAAAGCAAGTGCAGGCGGCTTAAATAAGATTGGTTTGCGCTGTGAGTGAGTACGGCCGAAGGAAGTATCGGCCTTTAAGAAGAAGGAAAATTTGGATTTGAAAATGCAAGAAAGCTTCAATCGATGTGACTGAACGAGTATCTGATTAAAACAATGCATCAAAGGTTTTCTGTTTTTATGCTTAAATAATATTTTATTACAAACCTAATTAACAAACAATAATTGCTTAAATATAGAATTTACTTTTTTATGAGTTTACAGTTCCATAAGTTGTCCATCACCGTTAATGCATTTCACGGCAATATGTATATAATTTATAATATTTTATATACTCTCTATTCACTTTATTGAGGCGTGATAAAATATATTTGAGATACTTCTTTTTTCAATTCTCGTCAAGTTTTCAATTCTTCAGTTTATTCGTTTCTTCATTTCTTCGTTTCTTTTAAACGAAATTTTGCACTTTTTTTATATGTAAAACATTAAAAATGGATATAAAAAACTAAAAGAAACTATAAATTACTTATCAATACCAATACATAATACGACAAATATTACCTTTGTTAAATTGCGTCTCTTTTGATAATTATAGTTTTTCTAGGATTCAACTATCAACTATCATCTAGTAGCAGCTGGATGTTCTCTCTCTGTACTTCTACAGAATTTTGATTTGTTTTGTTTCATTGCTGAGACCAGAAAAAGGCACATATCGTCTATTTTGGTGAAAAGTCAATGGGGGGCCGTTATCGAGTGAAGACTCAGGACCTGTTGAAATGTATGTGAAAAAACGACAAATTTAAGCCACCCACATCAAGATACTTCGAACCACCTCATAGCGTCTCTGGTACACATCGCAATCTTTCTACTACTACAGCTAATAGTTGAAGTTGTGGAATGGAGTTAGGGGTCTTCATTTTTGCGTTCTCCGTCACGTTTCTTGGTCCTGAAGACGGAACTACATCTATTCAAGAAATTTTGCATTGCGGCCTTTCTTGCTCGAAGCTTTAATAAAAATTTTTAATTATTAAAAAGTAATTTAAAGTAGTAGCCAAGGAATTGATAGTCAAAATTTTCAAAAAATTTTATTTACAACGGTAAAAATTTCTTATGAAGACTCATTTCTTTGCAGAATAGGAACTGCACAATTGCATAAGTGCTTCGAAGTTCCCTTTCTGCCTCTAAATAAATAATATTTTTACAAATTCTTAATATCTGAATGTTAACATATAAATTTGGATCCGCAAGTTTGAAATGGAAAGTTAAGAAAGTTAAAGAAGGTTGAAGTTGTTGGTTAAGAAAGATTAATTCCACTAACCTTCATATATAAAAGTAGGAATATCGCAATAAATTGGATGCTGTAGTTTTGATCATTCAGAGAATTTTTGTGTAGCTTTATATACTTATTTTTATTGATTTTATTAAATTAATTCAAATTAAATTAAATTAAATTAATTCAAAAACAAACTTACAGAGTCCCGGACGTCGAATGTGACGGTTAAGCCCTTTGCGCAAATTTTCACGGCACTGTCGTAAAGATTGCGAGTGGCCGTTCTATAAATATCTGTAACTTTTCCCATTCTTAATTTTAAAAACGAATAACTAATTTAGTATATCAAATGGAAGTGAGAGAAATTTTCGAAACGTTTTCAACGAAAAAAATTTTTTTAATGCGATACTAAAACTCAAATCACTACCTAAATTTACAAGAAATGTCAATGCTTACTTTGAAGCAAAAATAATGTCCGTCAAGTTAAAGTTGTGAGTTCTCGTAAACTCTAAGTTGTGTAAACTCTTTAAGAAAATAAAGAGGCACACAGAAGCATTATTAGGATATCTGAATTCCTGAATCATGTATTTCAATCATATGTTCGTTGAAATTAGCAAAGTTTGGTTACATGATAACTTATAATTGAATTGTTGAAGAGCAAATTTTTACAGGAAACTTATTAAAATATTGTATTGAGTCAAACGATAAAAGCTATATGCCATACCGGAAATAAAGATGTAAACAAAGAACAGAGAGTCAAGTTTACAAAAATTGAACCAAAGACAGAGCGCTGCATCCTTAAACAAGTGCACTATTTATACCATCAGGATGATATGTTGGGATTCAAACCATACTTCTGTGAAATCATTTGAAAATATCATTATTATAACGAAATAGAACTATTATTGCAGTGGACCACCCAAATCGTCGAAGTCACTAAAGTAAAATGCGCTTTAGACACTAACTTACGTTTCATCAAGGAATGAAGAAGAGAAGTGTGATACGTAGTAAATAATGGAGGGAAACATTGGAGTACATATATTAGTGAAATATAGCCTTTTTATGAAAGATACAAACATCGATCAAATGTAATGAATTTCATTGATTTTCAATTAGTCATATTAAGACATATATGTACTCATACATGTATGTACATATGAATATATAAATCACGTATGGCTTATGGCGTATGGTACTTTCAAATGTATTAAAATAGACTGGCGAATAGACTGGTATGTCTTTTAATATTACAGCTTATTACTTTTTCTTCCATTATTTACTGTGTGTAATAGTTGAAAATTTCTCAATATGTATATTTACTTCTTAATGATTTTAATGCCTAAGGCTGAAAAAGTACAACTTAAAACAAAATTGTTCCAGAAATAAAATTGGCAATATAACCCAACGTTGCAGTTTAAGTTCTTGTCTAAATTATGACTTAAGTGATAATTTAAAGTCAGCAAACGGAAAAAACTTTTACATTTTCCACAATTCCCTCCAAGAACTGCTTGCTTCGCCTACTTTCACTGGATTTATTTTGAATACAATCCGAAGTTTAAATTTCCGTGCAAGCAAAGAGCATCGAAGCAGTCTGCTCGTTGATATGCGATGTTGACTGTTTGCACATGAAATGCACAGTTGGAAAGGCTTTATTATGCCGTTTTCAAGATTTAAGATTTTAAGAAAAATTACGATTCCTCAAGCATGGACTTATCAACGTCTTCTGATAATTGATGCCCTATGGCTTATGAGAGATCTGTGGTGATTTTGTTTAAATCACATATCTTCCATTTTCATACCTTAATATGTCATGCCTAAAATATTGATAATCATACAGATGTAGCGCACAGATATGATGGTTTGTGTCACACCCTCGTTATTAAAAAAAGCAATAGGAGCAATAATGTCTGCATTCCAAATCGACAACTTCCAGTGACTTTGTGAATTGAATGATCTTTCGACAGTTATTTGTAAATTTTCAATACCCTATATGAGATAATTTTATGTGTAGTCGAAAATAAATATCTACTAAGTCAAAAATAAGCCTCATCGGTATAGAAAACACGATGAGAGAAATGTTATCCACTTTTGTAGTAAGTTTTTGCAATTTTATTAAACTTAGCGGTCGTTAAACGATATGTTATTTGACATATGTCACTGAAACAGTGTAATCAAATGAATAAGATCTTAACATCATATATATATACATGGATATATAAAATACATAATAAATAAAGTATTAATGCGAATTCTTATACTATATAATTGTACCTCAAAATTATCAATACTATATAAAAATCAAAATATCAAAATTTCATTAGGTCATTCCATTATTATTATTATTGTTTAGTGATGTGGCACTGCAACCCTCGGCTCTATTATGTCCTTATCTGGGTTTAAAGTAGATCTGTAAACCCTGTTGTGTCAATAAAAAGTAGTACAGAGGCTAATTTACAGTTTAATTCAATTATTGCCTCTTCCGTATATATACATTCCCGAGAGCCTATTCCGTATATGCATTAGCGCATATGGTCAATCTATTACATTCCACATTTATTTATATAATGCCTACACATTCTCAAAATTGCATTCTAACTGGAGAAAATCTATGCAATTTAAAGTAACTTGCTTTGCTATATAAACCGTTCCTTTGGATTTGTTAATGATATTAGGTATATAAATATATTTCTTATATATGTTACTACAATTCGATAATAAGCTTAAGTTCAATTTGATACAGCAATTTTGAAAATAAGTTAAACATTAAATTTTTTTTGATGGAAGTATTTGGGACGAATATGTGTAGATATTAGCATAACAACTGTTAAATTCATCGTCAACTTTTAATTGTTCCAGTGAGAAAGAATTCGTAAGAAAGACAATGCTGAAGAGCCTGAAGAAAGTATTAAGTTTATTAATTTTTTTTTACTGCGTTGTGTGCAATTTGAATAGGTTATACCTTTCTTCTATCATATAAATGCGCCTAGTGACACCTTCGTGACTGTTTCGTAAAAACGATTTTGGATCTTAACCACTCCAAGCACAACAACTGAGAAGAAGCGTACCGGTAGGTAGGATTGCATGCATAATCCATCGAAGTTGCATTTGATTTAATCGATATAACCGTCACCAGTTCCACATTCTGTCGCTTCTGAATATTGGCTTGACAAAAGGCGTGAAGAGAAACGTCTAGGGTAGTTGACAGCAGTGCTCATTTGTTGAAATTTAAATACGTCAGTGGTCTCTACATAGTTTATATGGGATTATATATATAACATGAACCTTTACGATAGGCATATTACCTTCATTTCTGTGGTGGTAATGAAAACCTTTTTGATTTTTCATTTCTTCTAAGTAAGCTGGTAAAGAGATGTTTGCTACTATATGTAACTGCAAGCATTTATTTTTCTTATCAAAAAACGATAGTACATTCCCCTTATAGTTTTGGTGTCGCTCATTGATATTTAACGGCTTTATGTTTGCAATAAAAAAAATAAATCATAATCATTTTGATAGTTAATTAAAAACATAAGTATTAAATTAAAATCAAGAGGCTTAATTCCGCAAATCAAATTTGAGTATCGACATAAGGAGGCAATTATAAGGCGTCGTTTATAAAAATCCATATGATATCAAATATAAATATTTCAAGACACACTCATATAATTGCAGGATTGGGTTTTTACACACGCTTTTCCAGTTGCTCTTGTGTTTAATATAATCACCCAACATTGTCGTCCCAACATTTGTCAGTTGATCCGTGACGGCCCCCCACCAAGCCTAACTAAACCTAAAAATTTTTTCATTTTGTCCGAAAAGAAACTTTGGATTTAATTTTGAGAATAACAAAACTAAACTTTAATATTTGCTATTTCAATTTATTCATTTTCTAAAAAAGGTATTTAAGAAGACAACTACCAGCTTGCTTTCTGACAGATTTTCAAAAACTCTGGCTGCATTTCGTAGTAGTTTTGAAAGTAAATTATTCAAAAAGTTTGGATCAGCTTACAGTAGTGGATCCTTTTGATGACACAGAATTAAAAATATCTTAAGAGAAATGGACAATTATTTGTCTATTTATTATTTGGACAACCATTTGGTTCTTAGGAACAAGTAAGAATTATCGGGTCTATCTTTGTTGGACCAATGAGAAAATTGTCTATGTACTATATTTCTGGACAAATACATTCTTATGGATTGTTGAATTTCACCTCATCTTCATCGAAACAACTATCATGGAATTTGATTATCATAGGCGATTACCGTTAAAGCAACTGCAATGGCATATTATGGTGCAACAGAAGCTCTCCCATAAATTGAAGTTTCATTGTACTTCAAAAGACTTTTGGTTGTTTTGCCATCTGAGACCGTAGGTTTCTGACGGGCTAAAAGTCATTGCAATTCGTCTAAGAGTCATGCGATACCCCAATGGCATCTTGGGGTTTTGTATTAAAGGTAAAGAGGTAAAGCTCGTATTTATGTTAATTTCAGAGCCTCTTTAGCCATCTCTTCGTTAGTATATCTAATATTGTTTGTAAAAGTATCATTCACTGACCTAATTCGGAAACGTTTTCTTCAGTTTGGTGTTTATTAATTGGAATCCTTGAAAATAGCGATCTTACGTTTAAAAGTAATTGAAGTGAGATTATTTAAAAACTGTGCACAAGGGGGGTACGAATAGAACTGAACTATGTAATACATAATAACTTTCACAGCTAAGCTATTTCGGAATCACATAGCCTACTATCAGCTCTCAGTTGTTGGCAGTCGTTCAGTGCATTTCCTATTGGGCCCGTGCGTGAAATGTGAGTATGCACTGCTTGCAATTGCTGCAGGATATGCACACGCACATTCACAATTTTCTGCAAGAAAACTTTCTTTTCATAATAAGCAACAAATTTGCAACATTACTTTCTTTCATATCCTTCATATCTTGCACTTTGATCTCACCCCCCTCCCCACCCTACCCTGTAGCAGGGGTTGATCCACCTCTCAGTTTATTTTTATTACAAATTGTCTTACACATTATAAGCCAAATCTTGCTTTCAAGTGTATCGTGCGCTGTTTTTAATGCCTGCAACAGTGTTGCCAAAGTTAAATTTCACAGAAAATATTATTCTTGAAAAAATAATAAAAAAATGCAAAAAAATTATATTTGCGAATTGTGTAGTAGAGATTTGGTGTTGTTGTAGTTGTTGTAGTATTTTTTACACAGATATTCAGTTTGAATTCTTTTTGTTCTTTTTTGTTTTTTTTGTCCTCTAACGAACATTTCTCCTTTATTTTTTTCTATTACAAGGACTATTTTTCCTTTTCCGTTTTATTTTTTACACAATTTAATTTTACTTTGCACATATTTCACTCAAAATGTGCCATTTTTACTATTTTCGTAGCTGATTTCAACAACAATTGCACTTTATTACACGACTAGAAAGTGGAGAACGGAGAAATGGAGTAAAAAATTAATTTTTTATTTTTTGCAACTTTTCTGCACTTAAATTGGATTATTTTTTGGGAGAAAATTTTACATTGAAATGCAGCTACAGTTACTCTTGGCTCAATTGAGTTTGAGTTTCACTTGCTTCACTGCTTCAGTGCTTCAGTGCTTCACTTCTGCCAAATATTAATCTTATGGAATTGTGAAAATGTCTGTTCATATTGTATGTTTCCAGTGGCAATGGCAGTGGCAGTGGCAGTGGCAGTGGCAGTGGTGTTGGCGTTAGCATTGGCGGTGCTAACAGTCATTGCAGTCATTGCAGTCATAGCAGAAACGAAAATGGTAGCTCCACCCAAATGGTGTCCATCATTACGTTGACAAAAACTAAAAACGAAAATTACCACCGCAAATGATGTGGACGATATCCTCGAAGTGATAGGCTATGGCAGTGGTGCAGAATATGAGTCCTTGCGATTGTGGCTGGCTGCATTTGAATTGCTTGTGGTTCCGGTCGTGATTGTCCATCATTCGACGACACATGCATCGAGCTTATATCTTGTCACAGTGATTTATTGAAAATATTTGTAAATGACAATTCGAAATTTGCTCTTCTGCTAGCAATAACTTTTATTATATGAAGAACGTTTGACATAACATATAACATCACAGTCATAAAAAATAATTTATACTTGCTGCATTCTTTTCGGGTTCGTCTTTGAACATCCCATAAAGTTGGTCAGTTTGTGGCTCATTAAAGTTCTTGTTAAAATGACAATGCAGGATGTGCAAAGCATAATACTTTACTTAATAGTTAACAAACTAAGTTCGTTCCCATATCCCATAGCCCATATCATGTGAGTTATGATAATTTATTATATTGTGGAATTGCATCAATAAACATAATTCAAACGGTTTATGGTTCGATAACGAACCATGAACCATGTTCGAGGTTCATTAATGATTTTCACAACTTCTTTTATCATAGTTTAAAGTCGGTTATTTGACTTGTTATTTGTAGTGGAAATTTCGCAGTACAATCATTTTAGTTGAGGAAGGACAATGATACAAAAACAAAAAGCATTGTTGATATTCAGTGGTCTTTCATAAAGAAATGGACTATATCTTTACGAACAACACAGTTCCAAAATCAAATCACAATCGAAATCTTCATTAAACTTCGTGAATACTTGTGCCAATATTATTTTAGTAGTCCATCTGGAAGTCTTCCAACTGGAAGCAAAAATGTAAATGGGCTGCAATGGAAGACAACGTTTGTTTTTTTTTTTTTGAGGCGCTTTGAAGACATCCAATAATCTTTACTAGTCAGAAATAATGGTTTTCTTGTTGTTCTTACACATCTTTTAGCTTTGAAATCCGAAATATGAATCTATGACAAGATATACAAGAAGTGTTTAGTGAAATATGTGATTGAGAATGCGAAAAATAGAAAGAATATAACTATAGTGTTGAAATTAGCTTAGGTTGAGCTGAAGAAATGCATGTACTTGAAACTAGTCGAGCTATAAGTTGAAACAGACGGCTACACACTACAGACACACACTACTTAGTAAACTACTTAGTACTTAGTAACTATTATTTGAAACCGGGCCCAAAGGCGCGCACAGATTTTTTTCTGGGATACATAAGTCGGTACTAGGAAAAATCGTTATTAGAAAAGGAGGAAGAGTTCTGTTTGCAAGGTGCGAAAGTTTTTCTTCCGGAAGAAATTAAGTTACAGTTTTCAGTTTTTCAGCTTTTTTAAGAGTGAATAATATTTATAGAGAAAAATTTCGAATGAGCTCACAAAACAACTTCTATTAATTTAAAAAAATAACCAGAAGAAATTAGAAATTAGAAACTCTTAGAATCCAGAACTGAAGAAATTCAATTATTTTTAAGAAGAAATAATGGTTTATAGAAATAAAAATTCCGTATAAACCATGTCTGAATAAGTTGCTAATAAAAGTGGTACTAGTGTCCAAATAGTCGACAGAGAAGAAGAAGAAGTAAGAGAGCTACGATACATAATTTTGAGTCAGTTCGTAACTCATAGGTAGAAAGGAAAGGCAGACTCAAATGGACTATGCTAACAGGGACTAAGGGCAGAGGTTAGGTTAATAATTAATGTGTGGTATTTGCTTGGGTCTTATTTGAAAGGAATAGCTCGATCATTTTTTTCTTGATTTATGTCTGTTGTGTGCTGCTGTAGCAAGAACTCCACCCGGGCACACAAGTACACCTGGACATAATTCCCTTTAACAAAATATATTTTTCTATTGTCTCTGTTCCTCAGAACAAAACGATGTGTTTACAGGAGGTGACTTGGAACAAATAATGGTTTAACAATTGTAGTTATATGATATATAAGTAAGATCCATATTTAGACTATATGTATACTAATATATTAACTTAATTAGGTTTTCCCTTTTTTTTAAATGAGTGTGACTTGTTTTATTTCATCGAAAGTTTTGAAAAACGTTCTATCATTATGGACTAATAATTGAGTAACGAAACCGCGTTACTCAATACCATCAATTGTGAATTATTTAATAAAAGGGAAATAGCTAAGTAACTTTTTGTTCTTTATCTTTATACTTTCTTATTTCATTATAATTTGTATCTTGTTAACATGACAATTTCGCTGTGATGCCAGTATTATATATACCAAATATAATTATGCCAACTACGTAAGAAATAATTTGCGTGTCAATCATAAAAGTTGGAATTTTTTAAATTTAACTTCGATTTTTACGAAATTTTTTTAGCAGGGTTTCCTTAACTAAAGTAACCCTTATTGGCAGTTATTGCGAAACTGTTTGGAGAAGATAAACTAAACAGGCTGACATAATGCGAGATATATACATCAGTTTGTCGTTAGGGATATTGTACACCAAGGCATAATTACAAGAATTGTAGTGACTCAAACTAACAGCGGATCTAAATGCGACTATTAGAGAAGTCTTAAACTTTTTTTAAATTTACTTATAGTGACTAATAATAATCGCCTTTATATAGGCATTTTAAATTAACAATC